CAATTTTTTCCTCTTGAGGGTTGTCCAGTCCTGTCCCAGGCTCCTCTGGGCAGTGGTTGAATCAACATTCCTGGATGGGCTTAAAAGCTATGTAGATATGATGCTGATGAACATGATTTACCAGTGGACTTGGTAGAGTTAGGCTAATGGTTGGACCTGATGAGCTTGAAGTTCTTTTCCAACCTGAATGATTCTGTATCATAGCTGTTTCAGAAGAGCTTGGAAGGCATGCAGTTCCTGAGAACTTCATGTTGACAATACCATGCTAAAAGTGACATCTCTTAAATTTCTGAGAACTTTACTTTCCTCCTTTTCATAATTCAAAAGGAGAAACTGAGAAGTCCTATAAAAAATTTTTGTTGGGCCCCTTCAGGGCCTGTTTTTCAGTAAGTTAATACTCCATTTTCAGTCCATGGCAATTTAAAAAGAATATAGATAGTAGCAACAGAAAAAAAAATAAATTGTGTTAGTCTTTTCCTACCCTGACATAAACCAGCAATCTCTTAGCTGAATTTTCAGCATCTTGCACTTGGATTAGTTAAGATTTTATAGTGGTTCCCTTTCATTTATAATACCGGTTATGGTAAGGTAAGCAGAAAACTGTATGCAGAGGGTGTTTTAATTATATGGACATGGGCCAAAAATGATGCTATATTTGCCTTGAGCTTTATATCCTTCCAAGGTTTTCAGAATAGTCTTCTTTGGCGTGCACCTGCTCTACAGCCTTCCTTTAAGAACAAGAATGGTCTTGTTCTTAAAACCTAAGAACTGATTTTTTTAAATCTTGTGAGCACACAAGTGGATGTGGCCATTCATACTCATGCTTTAGATACTACTTGGAGTATTATCACAAGATGGAGTGTCTTAAGTGTCCTCTGTGCTCATGTCACATTGTCAGACTTTTCTGTTCCAAGGTCATGAAGTGAGTCCCTGAAAAATCATTTATGTGATCTTGAGCAAAGTTCCAATTTGTTGCATTCTTTTGCACAGATGTGTTACAGGATCACCTTTGCAACTCTTTAGGACCAAACAGCAATCAAAATTGAGAACTGCATGAAAAGGCAAGGGTCTAGGGACTGAGAACTTTTTAAGGAAACCAGAATTATGGATCTCAGCTAAACTGCTGAACATCAGCAGTGATGCCTGGACCCAGGATCCCAATGGCTCATGTGCCTCAGCATATTCTCTTCTCACTTAGAAGGATTCTTCAGAGCACTGTAGTCTTCTAGTAGCAGATATGTTGGGCTTTGAAGAGTGCAACTGGCAAGACTTTTACACATCTTCCTTATTTTCCAAGCAGCTGTTGAAACTCTTTTCAGCATGCTGACACCCACAGTAGTTTTCTATTCATTCCACATTGCCTGCGATAACTGGGTAGTCAGCAGCGTGCAAAAATATAACCGGGCATGGAAAATTTCTAAACAGGACATTGGCTGGTGTGATTTTTCTGACTCTGAAATGTTTGGTGCTGTGTCTGTCCCCTTTGAGGGGCAGGGAGGGGAAATGTGTTGTCTTTTTTGGAGTGGAAAGGGTTTAAAGCCAGCAAGAGTGTAAAACAGATAACCTGAATTTTTTTGGAGGTAGGCTGCCCATTTGTTTTACTGAGTGTAAAAAATAGACCTGGTAGCATTAATATCCATATTTTGTTTTTCCTGGAAAGTAAACAACCCTGTTTCAAGCTCTAGAAATGCTAACTACTTAAAGAAACAAAAAAAGCCAAACCAAATGTAAATACTGCTGAAAAGTTTTAAAATGATGTGACAGAAATGAGGCATAAAATGTGAGCCAATTTTACATCAGTGGCCAGATTCTTGGGATTAGAGGCTTGGGTTTTGTATTTTTACTTAACCAGATATTAACTTTTATGCTCTAAAGCAATCTTGGAGCAAGGTTCTCTCTCTGAACGTCTTTCTACCCAGAAATTTCTACTCAGAAATTGAGACTTATTTGTGAGAATACTGTTAAAAAGAATACAACACCAGAGCTGCACATCTGTTTCTCATTTCAAACCAAGTTATTTTACTCTAAGCCTCTATTTTTTCCTCCTAGCAAGAGATTTTTTTTTTTCCCCTTCAGTAAACAGACAAGAATAAAAAGATTGCTAATAAAATTTGTTACTGTGTATCATTTACACAAAAGGCTTTAGCAGTACATTAATTTGTCCCTGTTGTGATAATGGGCATGCACAAATTCATTTGTTCTGTTAAAATGCCATCTATGTGAAAAATCAGTTGTAGCTCTGGCTCTGTAAAATGGAGACTAGAAACAAGGTTATAGAGTCGATCTGAGAAGGGATTTACATCTTTCTGGGTCTGTTGCTGTTTTCCATTTTTTTTTCTGCATGAGAAAATTAACTGCTACACAGTGACATGTCACCGATTGACTGGATAGTGACACATTTATTACCAGGAAAAGTTCATGTGGGATTTTTTAGATCTGCCATCAGATAGTAACTGATCTGAGATCAATAATAACAAAAATTATAACATCTCTCAACAATTTTCCTCCTGTAAAGCTCCAGAATGATCACAGTGGTACCAATATAGTGTTAGCAGCAAAGAGAATTAAGAACTGAAAAAAGCAAACTCATGCCAGCCATGGGCCTTTGACTCTGCTGGACATGATTAAATAGGATAAAATTTTCTTTCCACGCAGCAAGAAATTGGGCATTTATTACATCTGGAAGCATTTTTTTTAGAATTATTTTGTGCCTCTTTGGTGTCTGAACTGGCTTTATTCCTGATGACCTGCAGAGTATTCCTGTGTGGTCTTCTGATATGAGATGAGTTTGATTTTGCCCCATTCTTTTTAGTTTTTGAGTTCTGTTCGGTGTCCAGTTCTCTGCCATGCCTTGTGAACAGTCAGATGAGTTTGTCTTGGTGGGTTTATCTCAGGAATAGAAAACAACAAGGAAAACCCTAAGAAATGCTTCTAACCACTTTTAAAATATTTTTTTCCCCTTTCGTCTTTTTAAAATTCTGATCATGTTTATGGGTCACTGCACAAATACACAAAACCCCATGTATGGCAAAATATGTCATAAAGTCCCTTTGTACAGTTTCTCCAGGTTTGGTAAGAGAACATGAAGTGCAGGTTTTATTTATCTATTTTGAAAAGTACGGTCAAGAAGGTGCCAAATATTTGTGTACAGTCATCTGTGTCTATCATCTTCTCTTTACAGCTGTCTTTCAGTTGCTTCTGTTTGTAGTTTTTTGAAATTGAAGTATGCAATAGATAATTTTGCTGCTAAATGGACATTTCACATGAAGATCTGGTAAACTTAAAATTCTGCCAGCTATGTATTTTTGCCAATGAGCTTGAATTCCTGTAGAACCCAGTGTAAAAAGCTCTCTGGCCATGTTTTGCTGAAGAATGCTGTTGGGCTCTGCAAGTTCCCATAGTTTTAAGATTTGTCAATGCAAAGGTTATTTAGGAATTTTTAATCTAGAAAAGAATAAGATTGTTGAGAATAAACTGTGGTTATCGTTGAATTAGATGAATACATAATGACACTGATTCCACCCCTGCTTTCTCCCTCTCTTAATGTCCAAAGAAGGGTGAGCAGCTTCTTCAGGGGTAGGGCTAGCAGAGGTTGTCTGTTCATTTTTAAACCTTGGAATGAAGCTTGCCTGCTTGAATCACCTGTTTCACGTAGAACAAACTACAGTCCTTCCAGGGTGTTTTTTTCATTTTTGTCCAGAGGAAATGAAGTCCAGTGGTTACAGGGAACTTTTCTGCCTCGTGAGAGTGGGTATGTTTAAGGAGTACATAAGCTGTACAAAATTCTCTTCCTGCTTCTCTCCCAAAATAAGGGTAGACTATATAGAGTGAAAGAAAGGTTGTCCACAGCCCCTGCAGCAGTGTTCTGTGTAAAAGAACATTCTGTGTTTTACCTGGAGTTGTTCTCTGTATAGATATAGATACATGTATATACACCCAAATTAGGTAAGTTAGCATATAATTTACACAGATAAGCTCCAAGAAGATGTGGATAGGCAGAGTTTTGTCATTTGTTTGGAAATGTATATATCAGAGAATGAAAACTCAGATGCTTCTTTGAGCACAGGAGTCCTGGAGCTATATCTGAGCCATATCTTGATGGCCAGTTTTGGTGCTTTTCCCATGGCTGGTCAGTTATAGACACAGTTGTCTGTGTATTCTCTGGGGTTGACCAAGTGTTGAGTTTATGCTGGAGGTTTTCTCAAGTACAGCTATGCCCCACAGTCTGCAGAGGATATGTTTCTGCAAAGTGTGCTATGACAGCAGTGCAATGTGCTTGTAAAAATGATGTGGTAAAGAGGAAACTTGCAGAATCCCATTTCTCTTTGACATTTATCTTTTCTTTCCTCTCCTCAATCTCCATCATACCTGATTGAAATCAGCATGCCAAACAGTTATTTAAGCTAAAGCTGCATGAAATAAAATTCTTCATGGTCAGGGATTTGAGAAGAGTGTAGGCTAAAACCTTCCTTACAATTCTTGTACGAGTCTATGAGGTTCTGAAAATGAAAGATAAACTGTGAAAATTAGGGTAGAAAAATGGAAAGTGCTTTAAGATGCAATAGTCCCAGGACCGTGAATCTCTGGAGATTGGGAGGATGCTGGGCTTGGACACTGACTCGGAGAATTTTTCAGTCATTCCCAGCATAGTTCTTTCCCTTGACTGATAGATCAGAACAGTATTTTACTGTGTTTTGTGTAGTTCAAATGCTCATGTCATGACTTTGCAACCAAGTTTTTCTTTTTTGCCTTATCATTTGTCTTTTTATAAGCTTAAAAAGATGTTTAAAACCAGAAATCTTAAAATTCACTTATCTTCCCTCCTACCTCCACCTTTCCTCACTTTAGAAGTTGAGTTTTCTCTGTAATTTTTACTGTTGAGAATATAAAGCCACTTTCTGACTGTTCAGAAAGATTGTACTTTTATTTTGTAAGCAAAATATGAAGCTGAATCACATTATGGATATTATATTTGAAATCCTTTTCTGTTTATTTGACAGGTACTTGACCAGTACGAACGAGAAGGGTTTAATTTCCTAGCTAAAGTTTTTAATTCTTCACATTCCTTCTTAGAAGACTTGACAGGTCTGACTTTATTACACCAGGAGACACAGGCTGCTGAGGTAAGAAAATACTATTTGGATGTAAAGAATAAAGAGGTGACAGTAAAGGGAGCTTGGGTTGATGTTCAGTCTATAACTGTGTGATTAATTAATCCAGCAGTGGTATTTGATGTACAGGAGGATTTACATGAGCCACGTGACTTGTGTTATGTGGCATAAGAAACTCGATTATCCTTCTGGGTCAATCTAAAATGTAATTATTATACTGCTTGCTGGATTATGATATGGGGAAAACAATGCTGGGTGTTTGTCTAGTGGCCAAAGCTGTCATGTGGAATGAACCCGGGGTTTATTTTGTTCTCACAGAGAGTAACGTTGTCTGAAGAGTTGCAATATTCAGTTTGTCCCATGGAAAATGAAACGTGTCTGTCTTAATATTGTATTTTAATAATGATTTGTAATCCTTACTCTGTCTGCAAATGTCTGTACTGTTCTACACCCATAATTCAATTTTGGTGTAGTCATATCATATGGATGTGTCTAAAGTTGGCTTTGAGAAGTGATTATTCAGTTACTGTGTAAATGGTATAGCTGCTTTTTCAGCTGGAAATGGCTCAGCGGTGTTGCTTGATAAGGTTTGCGGGGATAATGGTGACTTGGCTCTCTGGTTCATGTTTTAACCTTTAAAAAAAATTGGAACAGATGCTGGAGATATTAAACCATGAAATACCTGATGCATTCTTAAGTCATCCTGCTGGTACCTAGAAAAAAAATTTATATATGTATTTATATAAGAGGGATTCAAGAAAGGAAAACACCCTTTAAAAGGTGCTAGTGATGAACAGTAAGAGTGATTGTATTCTGATTCTGATTGCCATACCTGACTTTCAGGATGCTAAGAAGTATCTAGACTGCCAAAGGCAGCATTAAAAACAATTAAAAACTGGAATTAGTGTGCTTTCAAAAATCTTTGGCTTCCACAGTGAGGAAGGTGGAAAATAGGTGGAAAAACTGACGTACAAAGTACTCCCAAAGCCAATGTGCTCAGATTAGCTCAACTATCTTTGTAACGTTGCTGTATTGTTGTAAAATCTTTTCTGTTTTATCAGGCTTAACTATTTTAGTAGTCTTGATAAAGTTTCTGTTTATGAACAGCAAGGTCTAACAGGCAGATTATTTGCAGATTCTGCAGCATGCTTGCTTTCTTCCAATGAAAAGACTTGTTCTTTTGTTACATTTTGCCACTCTTGACTCTGAAAAATAGAGGTAGTTTTTTTTTGTTCCCCTCTGCTTCCTCAGTATATAATCTAGGGCAGCTTTTAAAACTTAGAGGTGCACAAGAGTACATTTTTAGTATATTTTTCTGCTGAATTGTTCTGTTTTGAGCTCGTTTTTCTCATACAGTGCAGTTGGTGCAACTTACATTGCAGAGTTTGAAGACTGCAAAATGATTTTTCAGGTTTCTGGCTGCTTTTGAGCTACTGTTGGCACAGTGCATTTCCTAAAATGTAGGCATTAGGTTTGTTTACATCAGTGCTCTTTAGGTTAATTTAAGATATTCTTGATACATGGCATTTTAAAAACTGCAATAAAAGTAGTGAGAGAGGTTTTGTATATGTCCTGTTTTGGTAATTAGAATATTTGATTCTTCTGTGAAGTTTCTTGCCTTTCTGTACTCAAACTCTACAGGGAGATTTTTTAGATGATTGTTGGGTTTGGAGACCATAAAAATGGCTTCTAGTAACTGAAGATTTCCCTTTCCTCCTATCCAGTAAAATTTGACCAGTGCCATTACTCTGCTGTAGAGAAAACAGACTTGTAAAGTCACATGCCATCCAGCCTTAAATTTACTGCAGCAATGTCATAACTCTTGTAATTCCTGGCAAGAATTAGGGCCGTTAACTTCAGAAAGTGCAGTTACTTAGAAGGGACTTAACTGAAAAATAAAAATAATTAAAACATAATAATATAAAAATAATTCACTGTACAGAATTAGGTCTAATAATAAACGTATATCTGATAAAGAGACTTCTCAATCTTATTCTTTTTTCAGAAGGATCACTCTTAAAATCTTGGTTCGTCAGGAGTGTTTAACTGAATTTTTTGCTGAGAATGTTTTGTTCTGGTCAGAAGACCTGGAGATTTTGTCATGCTGATCTTATTCTTTAGCATATTGCATCTTAAGTTAAATCACACATCTTTTTTTCATTTTAATTCACCTAACAATAGCTTTGCTGCTTCCATGATGTATGTAAGTGCTTCAGTGAGCTATATACTAAACTTCATTTTTTAAAAATTGCTGCTAAGTTTTGAGTTGCTCAAAAGAAATTCTTGAGTAAGTCGTGCATATTCCGTCAGAGTGACTATGTGAAACAGAAGGTTTTGGATGGCTTGAAGTTTCCATGAAAACTTCACCTCCCTGCAGGCCTTGCACAGGTTGCACTTGCCCAGCTCATAGTAATACAATTTGTAGTAGGATTTGGAAGACTTTTCACTGACTGAGTATCTTTTTAAGCTGCATTGTTCAGCTTCCTGTTGCAGTGCTGTGCTGTGCTGTTGACCTTAGTATTAATACCATCTTAACATACTTTACCGTATCTTTTTAAAATTATAAGAATATAAAATTAATTCAGTCTACAATCAGACTAGGAACCATAAACCAGATTAAATTTGTGGTTCAAATGTTAAAACTGCAGGAGTTTTAGTCGAGAGAGCGCCTGGTTCTTTAACAAGAGATGCATCAGGAAACAACAAATGTTCTACACAACTTCCTTAGCATGACAATCTACTCAGTAAATAATAAAATTAGCAAATGTTTCTATTCTGTCTTGAAGTGACAGAAAATTTCAGGCATCTGCTTTTTCCACATCTGCCTTTAATTTAGGTTCTGCAGAATATTTTTGGTTTCTGAATACCAGTTAGATATTTATGTAGAGCTACAGCAAGAGACTCTGATGACACGCATGCTCTGAAGGCCAACAGAGGCTGTGGGAAACTCCCACATCACCACTTAGACCTTGTTTCCACTGGATATGGTTCACTTTGGGAGCTGCCCAAGCTCGTGTAAAAATCACACTTGTGTTTTCCAGATCACTTTGTCTCCTCACTCCTAACCTAAACTTTCTAACATCATACTTTTTCTGTGTAGAGTTGAGTTTAATAGCTGGACTCAAAAATAGAGGAAGCCTATGTGTCTCTTGAATTATTAATCAGAAATCTGAGGCATTGATTTGGAGACAATGAAGTGATCAAACCATGACTACCTTTAAGGGTACTCGTTTTGTTGTTGCCCTTGTCCTTCAGAAACAACTGCCACTATTCTTCAAGGCCCATTTAAGCAAAGTAGCCAGGCTTTTCCTTTACTTGAGCATGTCTAAGTGCTCTTGAGATCACTGGGAGTGAAGCAGCTGTTGCTAGGAGGAACAATAATAGTGGTAAAATGACATTTTTGCATGAATTCACTGTAGTATGTGTCATCGAATTTCTATGCAAGAGTTTTTCAGCTATTTCTGTTTTCAGAGTACAGAAACTTAATTTCTCTCTGTTTTAATAAGGCCTAAGTAAAAATATTGTTTCTTGCTTTTGATTTCAATTCCTAAATTACTTGGATGCTTTAGGGACCTTTACTATGCTTTCTGCTTTCATCAGGATGAAAGAGAATCATAAAATACATAAAGGAAATAAAATTTTACTTTGCTTTGTGACTGATTAAAACACAAGGAGTGGTAGAGCTCTTGCAATCGTAAGAGAATCGTAAAGAATTCTGGATAAAAATCAAATCCAGACCAGAGTTCTCTGAATAGTCCCCTGTTTCTGGGACTATTAAGGTCAGATATTGGTGTCAGCAGGTTATTTTATTTCAGTAATTTTGTACTTCACGTTTTTTGTCTCTTACAATGTGATTCGTAGTTTCTATAGTTTCTGTGACAAGTTCTTGTGGTCAATGAATGAACCCTATTTGGTATTTGCAAAATCCCCTTCCTGTGCTGATTTACTGTATCCCAAACAATGCAGGTTACAACTCCTATCCTATCCTATAAGAAGGTAGGATTGGTTAAAAATAATAAAAAAAAAAAATTCATGTTAGTAAATTACTTTGAGATCTTCAGGAGAGAATATGGAAACCCCTTTTTAAAATTCTGATTTTGCACTTATTTGAAGTTGCTGCCTGACCATTTTTTCAGCCATTTCTGTTTAGTTATATAATAGGCAGCTGGTATTAAAAGTGAACTTTGTGCTTATCCAAATCTGGAAGGCAATTCAGATTTTCCAGTGTGCTTTGCTATTAAAAATATCCTGCTTATTTATGATTCTGCATTATGTTATGAAATGTATTTGATGCTGAAACAATAACATAGGAATAGCCAAAAAAAAACCCCAAAGAAAACCTTCAACAATATTATAATAGTAACTTCTGTAATTTAATATTTTTTTCTGTTAGCCAAGCAGTATTCAGAATTGAATTTTACTTAATGTTACAAAAATTTCCTACCAAACACGCTATTGATGGGTAGCATAAAATTAATATTTGAGACTTTTCTGTGTCTATGAGCTTTTTTGGTTTTCTTCATATTTTTAATCTGGTGTGTTTCAGGAGAAATTCACTTTGACAGATCCAGGCTTGCCCTGGAATCTTTCTTAAGAGTTTAAGAGATTATCCTGTTTTCTTTCAGGGGGTGGGTTGTTTTTTTATTTTTGAGTTTTCTCATTATGTCAATTAATGCCATTGTTTTTCTCCATTCATCAACCAATATTTCCAGATCTTCAAATAATGGTAAACTTTTTCAGGAAAAAAATCCTCCTGTAGAACAGTGTCCAAACGAGAAATGAGTTTCAGTTACAGTAGTTTTTAAAATGCGCATGAATTCCCAATGCATTCTGGTTATTATGCTTTGCTATTACATGCCTAAAATAAATTTAGTCAGTTCACAGGATATTCTGCTGAATCTATGGTATTTATGGTGTTGATATTTTCCCAATGAGAGGTAGCTGTGACATCAACACAAGAGTTCAAAACTGAGTTCTAGAGCCTTTGAACAAGCCCAAGAATGTTCTTTACG